TGGATTATGAGAATTATGTAGCGCGATGGAGTTTTTCGAAATATGAAAATTATGCCAGTTATGTAGTGCGTTGGGGTTTTGAGAATTATAATGCGCATCGGAGTTTTAAGTATTAGGTGGATTGTGCGAATTATGACAATTATGACAATTATGAGAATAATGTGAATTACGTAGTGCGTTTCGGTTTTTTGAGAATTCTGAGAATTATGTTAATTATTACTACTCACATTAATTTGCGGAATTGTGTGAGTTATGCAAATCATGAGTATTATGGGAATTATGCGGATATTATGGGAAAACAGCCCGTTGGAGTTTTGAGAATTATGAGAGTTGTGTAACGCATTGGAGGTTTCAGAATTATGAGAGGTATGTAGCGCGCTGGAGTTTCGAGAATTAGGAGAACTATGTAGCGCCTTGGAGTTTTCACAATTACGAGAATTATGCAACGCATTCGTGTTTTGAGGATTATGACAATTACGAGCATTATATAGCGCGTTGGAGTTTTGAGAATTATAAGCAGTATGTAGCGCGTTGCAGTTTTGACAGTTTTGAGAATTATGAGAACTATGCAGCGCCTTGGAGTTTTAAGAATTAGGAGAATTATGCAAGGCATTGGAGTTTTGAGAATGATGAGCAGTATGTAGCGCGTTGGAGTTTCGAGAATTAGGAGAATTATGCAAAGCATTGGAGTTTTGAGGATTATGAGAATTATGAGATTATGCAAGGCATTGGAGTTTTGAGAATGATGAGCAGTATGTAGCGCGTTGGAGTTTCGAGAATTTGGAGAATTATGCAAAGCATTGGGGTTTTGAGGATTATGAGAATTATGAGAATTATGAGAATTATGCAAGGCATTGGAGTTTTGAGAATGATGAGCAGTATGTAGCGCGTTGGAGTTTCGAGAATTAGGAGAATTATGCAAGGCATTGGAGTTTTGAGAATGATGAGCAGTATGTAGCGCGTTGGAGTTTCGAGAATTTGGAGAATTATGCAAAGCATTGGGGTTTTGAGGATTATGAGAATTATGCAAGGCATTGGAGTTTTGAGAATGATGAGCAGTATGTAGCGCGTTGGAGTTTCGAGAATTTGGAGAATTATGCAAAGCATTGGAGTTTTGAGGATTATGACAATTACGAGCATTATATAGCGCGTTGGAGTTTCGAGAATTAGGAGAACTATGCAGCGCCTTGGATTTTTAAGAATTAGGAGAATTATGCAACGGATTCGGGTTTTGAGAATTATGAGCAGTATGTAGCGCGTTGGAGTTTCGAGAATTAGGAGAATTATGTGGCGCCTTGGAGTTTTGAGAATTATGAGAATTATTAGAATTATGTAGCGCGTTGGAATTTTGTGAATTAGGGGAGTTATGCAGCGGGTTGGAGTTTGTGGCGCGTTCGATTTTTGAGTTTTCTGAGAATAATGACAATAAAACGGTGCGTTGGTGTGTCGAGAATTACGAGAATTCTGAGAATTCTGAGAATTACGAGAACTCTGTACTGTGTTCTAGTTTTGAGAATTATGGGAATTATAATTCGCATTCTAATTGTAATGCATTGGAGTTTTCAGAAGTACTGGAACTGTGAGAGTTATGAGAATCATGAGAATTGAGCGGGTTATGGAACGCACTGGAGTTTTAAGAATTACGAGAAGTAGGTCTTTCTTGGCCATATGTACACAGCCATATACTGTACTAGGGTGTGCCTTGGCTTTTTTAAGAACGATTTGTACATACACGAGAAGATTCATACAAGTTAGGTGGAACCTAACATTGCAAGATTCTCGAAACTCCAATGCGTTACATTAGTATCATAATTCTCACAAATCTCAAAACTCCAACCCAGCACAAAATTCTTGTAATTCTCGTGATTCTCAAAACTTCAATGCCTTAGATAATTCCCATAATTACCAAACCGCCAATGCCTTACATACTTCTCATAATTCCCAAAACTTCCACATGCTATATAATTCTAATAATTCCGCCACTTCTCATAATTCTCAACACACCAAGGCGCTCACTCCAACGGGCTGTGTAATTCTCAAAATTCTCAAAACTCCAACACGCCACATAATACCCATAATACTCATGATTTGCATAACTCACATAATTCCGCAAATTAATGTGAGTAATAATAATTAATATAATTCTCAGAATTCTCAAAACTCCACCGCACTAAATAATTCATATTATTCTCACAATCCTCAAAACTCCAATGCGTTACATAATTCTCAGAATTCTCAAAATTCTCAAAACTCCAACGGGCTGAATAATTTTCTTAATTCTCATAATTACCACAATTAGGATAATCATCATAATTCTCAAAACTCAAACACGCTACACAATGTCGTAATTGTCACACTTCTCATAATTCTCAAAACTCCAGCGCGCGGTATAACTCTCATAACCCCCACAATTCCCATAATCCTCCTAATTCCTAAAACTCTACTGCATAACATAATTCCCAAAATTCTTAAAAATACAACGCGTTACGCAATTCTCATAATCCTCAAAACTCCAATGCTTTGCATAATTCTCCTAATTCTCGAAACTCCAACGCGCTACATACTGCTCATCATTCTCAAAACTCCAATGCCTTGCATAATTCTCCTAATTCTTAAAACTCCAAGGCGCTGCATAGTTCTCATAATTCTCAAAACTGTCAAAACTGCAACGCGCTACATACTGCTTATAATTCTCAAAACTCCAACGCGCTATATAATGCTCGTAATTGTCATAATCCTCAAAACACGAATGCGTTGCATAATTCTCGTAATTGTGAAAACTCCAAGGCGCTACATAGTTCTCCTAATTCTCGAAACTCCAGCGCGCTACATACCTCTCATAATTCTGAAACCTCCAATGCGTTACATGATTCTCCTGATTCTCAAAACTCCAGCGCCCTACATAGTTCTCATAATTCTCAGAACTCCAAGGCGCTATATAATTCTCATAATTCTCGTAATTCTTAAAATTCCAATGCGTTGCACAATTCTCATAATTCTCAAAGCTCCAGCCGGCTGCATAATTCTCATAATTCTAATAATGCTCAAAACTCCAACGCCCTACATAGTTCTCATAATTCTCAGAACTCCTATGCGCTGCATAATTCGCGTAATTCTCAAAACTCCAAGGCGCTACATAGTTCTCCTAATTCTCGAAACTCCAGCGCGCTACATACTTCTCAAAGTTCTGAAAACTCCAATGCGTTGCATGATTCTCCTAATTCTCAAAACTGTAACGCGGTACATAATTCTCATAATTCTAATAATTCTCAAAACTTCAGCCGGCTGCATAATTCTCATAATGCTCAAAACTTCAGCGCCCTACATAGTTCTCATAATTCTCAGAACTCCAATGCGCTGCATAATTCGCGTAATTCTCAAAACTCCAAGGCGCTATAGAATTCTCAGAATTCGCGTAATTCTCAAAATTCGAATGCGTTGCATAATTCTCCTGATTCGCAAAATTCCAATGCGTTGCATAATTCTCAGAATTCTCAAAACTCCAACGCGCTATATAATGCTCGTAATTCTCATAATCCTCAAAACTCGAATGCGTTGCATAATTCTCATTATTCTCAAAACTTTGAGGATTATGAGAATTACGAGAATTATGTAGCGCGTTGGAGTTTTGTGAATCAGCAGAATTATTCAACGCATTGGAGTTTTGAGAATAATGAGAAATATGTAGCGCGTTGGAGTTTTGAGAATTACATAATTCTCCTAATTCTCAAAGCTCCAACGCGCTACGTAATTTTCATAATTCTCATAGTTCTCAAAACCCCAGCGCGCTACATATTTCTCATTATTCACAAAACTTCTACGCGCTACATAATTCTCAGAATTCTCATAATCTTCGAAACGCCCATGGGTTGCATGATTCTTATAATTCTCAAAACTCCAACGCGCAACATAATTCTCCTAATCCTTAAAACTCCAACGCGCTACATAATTCTGATAATTCTCAAAACTCGAATGCGTTGCATAATTCTCATAATTGTCGTAGTTCTCGTATTTCGGAAAAGTCGAATGCGTTACCTAATTCTCATAATTCTTAAAACTCCAATGCGTTGCATAATTCTCGGAATCCTCATAATTTCCAAAATTTTAAAGCTCGAATGCGGTACATAATTCTCGATGCGATGGTAATAGTAATAATTCTGGGTGGAATAGGTATTAGGATAGTATGTTGACCCGTGTATCCTAGTACGCTTTGTGTGTGATTTCTGACATCTCTGTTCAGCTGCAGCTATAATGAAAGTGTCTTAGGATGTAAAGGGTTAAGAGACGTTCTACCAGCGCGGCAAGAAAAGCTGTCAAGTGAAATTTTTTGACCTACGTAGTTGTTTTCTGTTTTGGGATTCTATGATCAAAACTGGGGTTATGAAAAAGTTTTAAGGTCGTTTGGACGTGATTTCGCCGAGTTATAGAACTTATAAAATTAGGTGTATCGGTGATTTTCAAAACAGCACCCTCCGTTAGTTTTTTGCCTATAACTTCGTCAAATTTTATCCGTTCTATTCGAATGACGTCTCATTCCAAAGTCCATCTGAAATGAACAAAATCTGATGTTTCTTAACTTTCTCAACCGGGAACTGAATTTTTCAGAAGCCTACCATTTGAAAAATGACTAGTTTTAAAAACAAAATTTTTTCAATAAAGTTTATTTTTCTCCATCCAATAGATTTCCCGCAAAACGGAAGTCAGTGTGTTTTGTAGAGCGCACAATTCTCTATATAATGAGCTATAAAACCTTTTTTCACAACCTCAGGAACATGTTGAAAATTTGCTTGTAATTATTACCATCAAAGTGATTATACTATCAGTTTTTTTTAAACGTACAATCTTTCATGAAAAAAACGTACTTTTTACATTAAATCAAGTACGCTGATGAAGGTACAAGTGGTTATAGACAGACAGATTATAAATATTTCAATATTTTATTTGACACCAGTACGTTTCCTCGCTGACTAACGTTTTTTGGCCGGACGAACATCAGTCGTTCATCCAACTCTTTTATCTGGTGACACTGCTCGGTTTCGAGAGGAAGCTGGTGGTGATGATTGTTCATTGCTAATTCCCATTGAATTTCTTAAATTATTTCTTTGCTCAGACTCTTCAACCACCTGATTATCGTCAAATTCATCGTCATCTTCCTCCTCCACTTCGTCTACAACTACTGTTTCTGTTTGCTTTTCACGTATCGCCTTCAAACGTGAAAAAAACGATCTGATCAGGTCAGGTTTTAAAAACTCGGCTGGTGTGAAATAGAATTTATCCTTCAAATCATTCTTTCGTTGCATTTCAGCTGATACTTCCTCTGGTTTCCATCGAATTCTCTGTTGTACACCCTCATCGAACTTCTCAGTGAGATATTGTATCTTTCATTCAAACGTGACATTTTCGTTCTTTTGGCAAAGCCCAATCTCTGTCAGGTGGTGTAATACGGTTTGTATCATCACCATCATCAAGTGTAGTCTCTTCTAATGGAAGACAAATCATTGATCTTACTCCAATATTTTCCAGTTTCTAGTGGTAGATAGCCATACTCATGTCTCTCATGGAACTGCGTCTATTCGACGTCGATGTTTTCCTGTACGTAAATGTTGAGTTAAATTTGCGTATCTGATAAACGAAACTACACATCCCTCTTCGGGACAGTCATACAGCTTACTTCTATTAGCTTGAGCTGCCGATTCGACTGTCAATATTGTTTCCTGCACTTGCTGCGACCTAGTGTTGACAAAAGCTTGTTGCTTATCCGCAAGGAAAAACCTCTGACCTTCAGCTTAGCAAATAAGAATATCTTGACTCTTGTTTTTTCTGTTGAGAATACTTGGTTTTCAGGGAACAGATGCCAGATGTTCATGTCTCTTCTCTCCTGCGGAGAACAACGTCAATTTTACTGCAGAGAAAGCGATTGAAAATTAAGCAACAACTGTATAAGAGGAAAACGAGAGATCAGAATATGAAATTATCCTTATTCATTTCTGTATGGCATAGTATTCGTTTCTATAATTCTTCGTTGAATTCTAGGAACAAACTTGTATATGATTAAGACAGATAGAACAAGTGAAGCTTTCTAAGGCACTTCTGATTACTGGCCAGTGCTGCTCACCAGCGTTTTTGCTACTAGCTCTATGTATTACTTTAAAGACGTTCGGTAGTCTGTTTACACTATTTTTCTATCATTTGTCTTTCCTTACTTAAATCATCTTCTTTACCAGTCCAATGCATAGAAATTCTGCAATTTGTTTTCGAATTTACTCGGATCTTTATTAGTTCGTGCTTCTCGGATGATTTTAGTCCAAACATATTGCCGCTCTCTGCCACTTACAATTCGGACTGAGATTCTAAAACTGCACAAGCTGAGGAACAAAATGCATAAACGTCGAAACACGGATAACCTCTGGTTTTATTTATACAAAGAACAACGTTCTTATGTAAACTCTTTAATTGAAAATCATCGGACCAACCAATACATTCGTTTTTTTAGGTAACTGCACAACTCGAGACGCTACTCTTTTCTGGAAGTACACAGCAAAACATTTGACTGCTTATGCTCCTCCAATTAAAGCACTAACTCATGAAAACGACCTAATTTCTGATCCACAACAGATTCTAGGCCATCTTGATGAAGATTATAAAAATTACTTTCATTTGCCGATGTATCATTTAGCATCATAGACACGTCGTAAATAATACGAATACAAGTCAACTAATTGTCTCTGTTGAACATCGGTAAAATAGAAAAACAAAGACACTAATCAGTTGAAATATGGATAGATAACAGCAAAAAAGCGCGACGTCTTAATTTAATCGAGATAATACCTTGATGGTTGAAAAGATGAGAGACAATTCGGAAAGAAGAAGAAATGATTCTGTACTATTCATTAAGCATAGTTTCAAAACCTAATCGAGTCGTAATTACGTATCCTAAATATCGGAATCTTTTCACAAAATGAACTGGTGCTTGGTTATAAAAAAGTTCGAAAGGTGGTAAACTAGCTCAAACGTTGATTAGTAGAGCTTCTGTTTTTTTTTGTGCTTAATTCAATAAGCCATTTCTCAGAGTAAGAATGTACTGCTTCTAGTGCTTTTTGCGCCTTCGAACGTAGCAACTGAATGGTCTCTCGATACTGAGTACCTAATGGAACCGAGAAAAAAAGGCCGCGGTCATTTGCGTAAAAGTGCTGCAAATGTGCCGAAAGAATATGAACTAAGTTGGAAATAAATAAAATAAATAAATTAATACAGATCCCTGAGGCGTACCCCCACTCAAGTGGAAATGAAGATCTTAAATTTCCTAAAGAAACGTACCCGGTTCGCCCCTTCAGCCAATTTCGAATCCATAACCAGAGATGAGGGTTGACACGGTGCCTCGCTAGCTTTATCAGCAAAGCGTCGTGCCAAACTCTGTCAAAGGCTGACACAAAGTCTGTGAAGAGAATGAGACCGGGTCTCGACGAGAAGAGAGCAACTCGAGCCTGTTCGAGAAGGGAAAGACCTCGAGTTTGCAGATATAGGCCTGGTTGAAAGCCAGTCTGAACATCCGATATCAAATTCTGGTTCCTCACAAACACAGACAGACGTCGATTGAAAACTCTCGTATAGCTGACCGGTCGCATTCAAAATTGATATGGGTCGCAACTCGTCTAGAAGAAAACTAACCTTTTTTCTAGAGAAGAAATAACCTTGTCGTTTTAAAACATTTCGGAAAAGAGTCGGTCAAAAAAAGTCGATTAAATAAAGTAACAAATGAGCAAATATATTCAGCTGGCAGCTTTCGCAAAAGAATATTAGAAGTACCCTGAGGATCGAGCTCGCGTTTCGATTTTAAATGATGTAGTTCGTTCCCAGTTTCACGGTACGTTACAACAAAAGGATCCCCTGCATTTGTCGAGAATTCTTGCAAGATCGATTCTAGCTCTTGTTGCACCTCTTCTTTGGTTTCGCGTAAAATCTGTTCCACCGGCAAATGAAAGTAATTTTTATAATGTTCAGCAAGATGGTCTAGAATCTGTTGTGGATCAGAAATCAGGTCGTTTTCATGAGTGAGTGACTTACTCATCTCAAATCACTCACATTTTCTTATGTTCCAACTCCAGATTATCTTTATCATCGTCCACCATCGTCGATCAGACAAATTATCGAGCACGTGATGGAACTCGATGAGTTGCATCAAGTCAGCAATCAATACCAATTAGAAACTGATCAATGCTATTATGTTCAATGGTGGAAATAAGATGTTTCAAGTTTTTATATTGTCAGTTTTCAACAAAATGAATTGTTTTGCTCACCAGAAAGACCCTCAATGTTATTGTGACTAAAAAAGAAATTTGTCTCATATAATTTTTTGTTTGTTTGAAATCTAAAAGCGGTTTCGTTAACATAATCTTTTTGTTAAGCCCAGAGCGTTCATTCGATTTGTAGTTCCGAGCTGAGAAAACAGCTATTGCAGAGAAAGATAGACATAGAATCATAGCTATCAATTCATATAAAAATTAACTCAGAGCTCATTATGGGTATTCCTTTTTGACTGTAAGTTGTACGGTGTATCACGGACTGACTGACTGAAAAATGGTTAGTCTCGAATGAAAACAGGACTCTCTGGTCTAATAGACAGTATGGAGAGCAAGACCAAATATAGGGTTTTGTAGAGCAGACTTTACTCTATCTGTTGGTATAAGACAGTAGTAGTATTGATCACATTTTTGACTCAACAAAATTTGATGAAGAAATTTTTCAAAAATCGAGATTTTTGACAGATCTATAGCCCGCCTCAAAAAAGTTGGTGCCCTAAATCGCTAGAAGACTTCGTTCAAAAGGACTGATATTTGGGTTCTAGGGTTAACGTTTTGTGCTATTTCGAACCTGATAGTCCATTTGAAAATCCAAAATTTTTCGGCAACCGGCTTGGGTGGTGGTCTCATGGGCTCTCTCTTAATGTCATCGAGCATTTTTTAAAGGATGATTCAGAGAAACCGGATATGATAGAATTATCGATTTTGAACATATGTTTATGGAGCAAAAGGTTATTCTATTGAGATATAGTATAAATACCTTACCAGAAGTACTTGAATGTGATAGTTTGGTAGCTGTAGCCAAATGCATTTCATTCATAGCTGATGCTAATGGTTGATCATTATTATCATCAAGTTCAATTAAATGTACGACATGTGAGCCATTAGACTGATCTAAAGAGTCACTCATCACCCGAAACTGTGTACCCATTCTTAAAATAATTTCATCTTCTGTTTCATATTCTGTATATCCAGAAATTTTTTTTCCATTTACAGCTTCAATTAAAAACAGAGTTGAAGTTTTTCCATTGCGGAAAAAATTTTTGATAACTTTCACTGATGATGCGCATGAGTTAACACTCCACCACGTCACAACTTGCCCTTTGGTACAATTCTTGCCAATATCAAGCGATACATCTCTCCATACTACTTCTTTGATAGTCGGTAGTTTTTCCGATGCTGTATCAAATAATTTCAAATATGGAAACCATATCTTTAATGCTTGTCCATTCTCAGATCGTAATGCTCGACTTAATACACGATACAAAGTAGTGTTACCCCATTCCATTGTATAAATATATACAGCTGCTGATTGCAGACGTGCGCGATTACAATTACAAAATGTAAAGTTCAAACATTGCTATTACCGGTAGAATTAAGAATTCTAGAATTATGAACTTTACTTGTTCAGATTTTTCTAAAATTGTGAATTCTAGGGGTGAATGTGGGGTTGAGGGTGAGGATGAGCGTGAATAAGCAACTTTACATGTATATAAAGTTCAGAATTCTAGAATTCTTAATTCTACAGATAATAGCAATGTATGAACTTTACATTTTGTAATTGTAATCGCGCAGCCCTCGCTGATTGATCTTGTGTTAGTCCATGTTCGAACGGAAAATGACAATTTCGTTTAGTTATCCTTATAAAACGAGGCAGCTCATCGGTTTGAGGCTGAATAGGTTCAAGTGCTTTTTCAATTGTAACAAGTTTTTCAGCCTGATAACCATAAACAGGTGGAAGTCTTTTAAATGAAATATCAATATCACCAAATCGGTTCATCATGCTCGTTTTTTATATGCTGTTGAACGTTGATGAAAGTACGATTGTTGTGAGTTTGAAGCAATGAATAGAATTGTCGCTTGTTGTTTTTCTATATTATATTCTAAAAATTAATACCCTCTCTTTTTTGTACAGTAACAGCCAAGTGAAGCATCTCTTTTTCTTTCTGATAGTCTAGTCTGACAAGTTTTGAATAGCAAATCATACTTTCGTTAAATCTGACACATATTTCTGAAAAGTGCTCACATACTATAGCTTCCAGCTTGTGGATAGAGTTTAACTCAAAGATCAATTTTCAAATAGAAGGATGTTTCTGTCTAACTCATTTCCTGTTGTGGCATGGCAGGATGAACGCGAAATTGTGTGTGCTTTTTGTGTGCTTTTGTGTGCACCTTTCCATCGCTTCTGACAGTTGCCACATATCCACTGACCGTAGGAATTCTTTACTTCGCGGTAGTCATTGTGAATAGTGTACGACGTAAACTGATCTTACGCAAGCTGCTATTACTTGCAT